GGGTCATTTTCTATATGAAATAGACCCGTAGTAAGTTTGGCTTTACGTGATCATTGTTCAGAGCAACCACAAAGAACCCTACCCCCTCGGAAACCGTCGTTGAGAAGCATCGTTTCAGCTAAAACTATACCTCATAAAGCCTCTTTTCAATTAATTAAAAATAATATTAACTGTGTTTGAGGTGTCACGTGGATTGCGACTGGATAAAAAAATATAAAAAGAAATGAATAAAAAAAAGAAGATTTTTTAATCACCCCTGTCATCGAGCGGAAAATTGGGGGTCGGTGAATGAATACCCTTTTAAAAACAATTCACATTCCGTACCCTCCCTCCCTCCTTGAAACCCGCCGGTCCCATCCCTCCCTCCCTCCCTCCCTCCCTCCCTCCCTCCCTCCCTCCCTGAGTCCCCAGGTGCGCGCCTGTGAATGTGATTCTTGCTGGACATGCTTGGTCTTGGTTGCCGTTATTGCCTTTCTTCACAGCGTCCGCTCCCAGCCTTTTAGCATGTGACTTGACAAGTTTAAGATTGCTGAGCTCTTCAGAGTTCTGACCTGTCTCCAAACCAAATGAGCAGTTGGCTGACTGGAGGTGGCGGGATGTAATGAGTTTATAGCTCTTCGCTTCTTCAATCTCGTGGTCAGAGCTCGCATCCTGGGCTAGCGTTCAGCACGCCTCGCTATAACACAACAAATATCAGGAGCAAGGAGCTTTCAAGCCGCGTGGTGTGCTGTTGGCTGTTTAGGAGACACTGATGAAGGTCTGAATGTTTCTATGGGATAAATCGTTCTCTTCTGATTGTTCTGCAGCGACAATACCCCTGTCACCGATGTATTCTGTATGGCGTGTCGGGGTATGAAGTGGCGTTCCTTCCAGGGAGCACGTTGCAATGGCTGGAGGGGAGGGGAAGGTATGTGCTTCATCCGATTGGAAGCAAGTTTTCATGGATCATGTAATAGATGCGTTGAAACATTCGAGATGCTCTTTGATAGTATGGCGATGGCTGGTTGAAAGCAATATTGAGCTGCTGCGTTGAAAATTAAAGGCAAAGTTCATGGGCAACTCTGAAACTTAGCTTCTGCTACGCTGAAAGCTCTCCTTTGCTGGGCGACTGACGACCACTTTTTGATCAGCTTCTAGTGCGACTGAAAAAGCAGCCCAGGTGCGTCAGAGGAAGTGAAGTTCTTGTTGCCGGATGCATGTTGAAGGCAGCTGTGAAAACGCAGGAGTGTCGCTATTGACTTGGACTTTGAACAAAGAATGTGTGGTGGCTCGACTAGAGCTGCTGCACGTTCTGAAGTTGGGCCATTTCAGTGCTCACTGGGAAGGGAAGGGAAGGGAAGGGAAGGGAAGGGAAGGGAAGGGAAGGGAAGGGAAGAAAAGGGAAGGAAAGGGAAGGAAAGAGAAGGGAAGGAGTCCGATCAATGAGATCAGCCTGAGCGGGGGACGCCTGGCAGGAGAAGGCTGACGGTACTAGGCGATGCCACTGAATGATGATGCCAGGGCTGCCGGCGACCGTGACTGCCGACTGAGGTGCGGCCGGACCTGCGACATTGCCACTGTCACGTCAGTGTGACAAGGCGGCTCAGCGGCTCGGGCTTCCGAGGGTGCAGTCAACTTCTACCATCAAACTTGCCATCAACTTGCCCGGGACTCGATGATTCGTTCGGCTGAGACGGTCACGTTGATTCCGAAGTTCGCGTTGCCCCCGGAATGGGCCGGTCACCAAGCCTCAGCCTGATCAGGTGACTGTCACATCGGATGAGTCATGGGCCGCCGGAAGGGGCTTTGAGGGTCAAGCCTCCTCGCCTCTCCTGATTGTCCTCGTACTGATTTTTAACTTAACTTTGAGTAAAAGTGTTCAACCGAACGGTTTTCTTTGCCGACAGTCACACACCGTACTCCGTACTCAGTGTGACAGTGCCGACAGAGGCTGGCCCGCCGCTCCGAGCAGTCCGGGCACGCCGCCGGGTCCGACCGTCCGATCCGATCCAGGAGCCCCCCCGGGCCCCACCACACCGGGCCAGCCGTGCATCATCGTCGGACGGTCCGCCGCCGTACGGTACTAACCGTATGCGGGCTGCCCTCGGAGGCTCCGAGACAGTCCAGTGCCACAGTGACAGCGCCGGCTGGCGCGGCCGCCCGGCCGGCCCGGGCCAGTTCGCGCTCCGACGAGCTCCGAGGTGACTCTCCGACTCTGTCACGGCCGATGGGAACGATCTCCCCGTTGATCTTGATGCCGCCACTGAGACCGTACAGAAGTCGACTCAGCGGCCAGACCGTCCCGGCGACCGTCGGACTCGGAGCGCCGGGCCGCCGGTCACCGGGTCGGACTCGAACTCAGTGATGCCAATGTTAGTGTGTGCCGGTGGAACGGAAGAGGGGAAGAGGGAGGGTGATAAAGTTAGGATTATGGTGGGTGGTAAGGATACAGACCGGGTAGTGCTCAATAGATTTCAGGGGTAGTCATTGCCATCACACAATGGTGAAAGATTGGGGTAGTGACCTAGGCAGTGAAGCGGCAAAAAGGGGGTCCAAGGAAGAGGTGGGGGTAGATCTGGTATGGAAACAGGGGTACACAAATAAATTTTGCCTCTTGGGCTGGTACATCGGGGGGTGGGGTGAACAAAAATGGAGGGTGGGTAGAACAAGTTTGGGGGGTCGTCATGTTCCTTCGAAATACCGGGTGGAGGTTGTTCCTGTGCTTCAGCACATTGGGCAAGGACCCCGTCCAAAGATACAATTTCAGGGGTACATTGTGGAGGGGGGTGGAGTAAGTCACTGAAAATAGGGGGTGGGGTGGTCTGCCTCTTCATCGAATTTTTCACAAGCAATGCTCTTGGAATCAGCCTGTTCACTCAGAAGCCATGCAGGAGCGGAAGAGGAGGAAGAGGAAGGGAAAGAGAAGCAAAGGGAACAGATACAGGAATGGAGGACGAATGCGAGATCAGGTTGAAGGTCAAAATTGCAAGAATATTTATGAGGTAGCGAGTTGAGGAAATTTTGAGTCAGGCAGGAGGGATTAGGGGCTTTGTTTCCGCCTATGAAGATGGCGTGATCGGATGATTACACAAAGGGAGGCAGGGAATCATCAATGCAAAAATCTTGGTTTCCAGAGCAAAACTGCGAATATGCTGAGAACAGTGGGTCGGGGCGATGTATGTGTTTTGTGCGTTTCAAGCTTGATTGCAGACAGCAAGGATGGTGAGTTGGGAAAGGTGTAGATGTAGAAATACGAATGCACAGAAAAAGGCATAGCGAAGAAAGTGACGAACAGGCACAGAGATAGCAATGTTGGGGTTGCAAGGACAGAAAGGCAGGCGATTGAAGAAAGCCTGAGAGTTGATAAGAAGGATGCCTAGCTCAAACTAAATGTTCCATGGAACATGTAAGAAGATGATGAGCGAAAGGGAGTCTTGTCCTTGATTTGACAACCTGGCAAGATTGCAAGAGCTTCGTGTTCGAAAGAATCGAAAAAAACGAGCATTATCTAGTGTAGCATCATCCCATCGCTCGATTCCAGACCCTACTGCCCTGCTCTAGCGATTGTCCCTGACTTGAGCGTAGTTGCCGAGCTCTATTTCCTTTCCCTGAATGGAGAGCAAGGGTGCGGTCTCGGAGCGCACGCCCCTCCTGGGGGGAGCAAGCATCGTCTCCGTCACTGCTCCTGACATCATCAACCGAGCTGCCGAGTCGCCTGCTCCGGGGATCAGCCTCCGCGAGTCTGTGGAGCGAGGCAAAGCGTCGGGGCTGGTCAACGACGGGTACAGGGAGGAGGAGGAGCCCGTGTGCTGCGGGCAGGAGCAGCTCGCGTACTCGATCCTGGCGAGGCTGCCGGCGATCCACACGTACGCGTTCCTGGCCTTCTTCCTCTACTTCGGGCACACGTGGCTGCTCATCCAGCGCCCCGACATAGCTGTAGCGATCATTGGTATCTTCCTTGTCTACGCCATGACGCGGTTCTGGATCATGTGGTTCTCGGCGTTCTACGGGCTGTCGCTGCTGCGGAAGCATGACAACAGGGAACCCAACTACTGGCAGAGCCAGACGAGGCCCGTGGGAGCTCCGGACTCCTACTCGGTGAGGGGAGAGCAGGGACGGGAGGGAGAAGGAAGGGGGACCGGGAGGGGGGGAAAGGAGGGGCAGGCAAGGCCGTGAGACGAGATGGAAACGCGGGACTGCACGCGATAGGAAGGAGATGGGTGCATAGCGAAGGACGAGAACGGGGAAGCA